CCGGGAATGCTTGGCCCAAACTTTTTTTTCCCCTTCCCGCGGCCTGAGCAAGCAATGCTGGGAGATGTAGTTACTTCTGCCGGGAGGGGAAAAGAATGGGGGTTCTGGATTTACGTTCTCGGTTCCAACACGGAATATCCTGTCGCTGTCCAGGGCGGGGCCTTCCTTCTCATCCATTCTTCTTAGGATTTGGTCAGGGCATTGTAAAGATTTTGAGGCTTAGGGGTGCCCTAACAAATGGGCAGCAGTAGTCATCTAGAGGTATGTTCACTCACAGGTCTTGCAGTTGACTTCATTTGTTGACTGGGACCTCCTGCCTGTCTGTAGGAGGGAACCTACACGGGTGTGATCTTTATCCGGGACATCTGTGTCCCCATCTCCAAGCTTCTTATACAGCCACCCAGTGCTCTAAAAGTGGATAAGGCAGAAATTGCATGCCCTCTTCCATGGACCTGGGCCGTCAGATTCAATGGAAGGGGCATGAAACCTTAGTGGGAGGTGTGTCAAAGTGACTTTGAGCAAGAGGATTTGGGCTGGGGGGATATTACTGTGACCATCTTGGAAAATGAAACGCCTCATCCATACCTTCCATTTTCCATGCTGTGTCTTGAGTGGACTTAAAAACTGAGGGACTTAAAAACTGATACCAGACCATGACGTGCCCTGGTTGTGTAACCAGTGGCTCAAGCCAAAAGACTGTCTTAGATGGTGAGGATTGCTCATGATGATAGATAGCCCCAGGGAAAATGCTAGAAAGTAGGGTGGAGTGATTGATAAGAAATAGAAGGGACTGCAGAAGGGGGGCAGTTGGATTCAGCCTTCGGAATTCAAGGTTTTTTTGATCTTCAGCATCTGGGGTTAGCTGATTCTGCCCCCCACTGCACTGATCTTCTAGAAAGCTGTTGCAGGCCTCTGAAGGTGGAGATCTCCAGTAGCCAGCCTCAGAGAGGAAAAGTTCAGAGGTTTTGCAATTAGCTGAGCAACTAGAAACTGTTGTGGTTTTGCTGCAGTTACATCCTGGAAGAAAAGGCGAAGTCCCAGAGCTGGGTTCATCACTGAGCTGTGTGAGGGGGGCTGTTTGCCAGATTGCTCAGCCGCTGCAGCTGCCGTCTTGAGTGTCACTTGTCTGATGCGGCACTGGAGCATCTTGGCTGTTCCAAAAGGGTCTCCTGTAGAGTCTTCTGTTGTCTTCATGAGTCAGAATCTGGCTTAGATTCTGGCCGCTGTGTGCTCCAGGGATACCAAAACTGTCCAAACTGGAAGACACCATCTTGGACATGTGGCCTATTCAGGAGAGATGCTCTGCATCCTCAGTGGCAGGAAGGTCATTTTAGTTGCTTTTGTTTAGGACTGAAAAACACGTGGATACTACTTCAGGTGAGGTAGAGGCCATTTTTGGTCTCAGTAACTCTTTGTTTTTCCCTGTTTGATAAATCCCATGTTGTTGATAAATCCCATGTCCCTGAGCCTGAGTAGTCTTGTAATTGTGTTTACAGGTAAAGAACTCAGACAGTAACTGTGAACTATGTGGGCACTGTTTTTGGCCAGTTTTGGTGCCCCTTGCTGCCCTGTATCATTTGGGCAGTCTTCCCAAAACCAAATCAAATGAAATCCCATCCCAGCAAGGCTGTGGTTCCTAACTTTCACCTCTGCCTCCTTTTGGGCCTCCTTTTACAGCAAGCTGCTCCTGCCTCAGGCCCTTTGCGTGTGTAGTTTCCTCTGCCTAGGAAGTCCTTGTTTTTTTTCTGAAGCTACCCCTTTCTCATCTTTAGTTCCAGTAGCACCTCCTTGGGGGCCCTACATGATTACGCACCACTGTCCAGTCTTTATGACATCCCGATGTTTCATTTCTTCTAACACTTGCCACAGTTTGAATTTATAACTTCAGTGGTCATTGCTAGTTTATCTGCCTCCTCATCTAGACTGGGCCTTCACCAGGTGATGCTTATTCACTGTTGCATGTTTGGATGGGGTATCAGGTGCCAGAGATCTGGAGAAAGAGGTTTATGCATTTTTGCTTATCCAGGCATGTGTCCCTTAAAAATGGGGAAATAGGCCCTCCCTGGTGATGCAGCGGGTTAAAGCACAGCACTAAGAAGCTTAAGCCACTTCCGCATGAGTTCTATCCCCGCCTGACCTGGAGGAGATCCACATGGCTTGGCAGACCTCTCCTGGCCCTCCCGCTGCTCCCCTCAGCAGTGTACTTCGTCGATCTGCCTGTTCTGCTCCCCACTCTGTCCCTGGTGAATTCTCTCACCCTCCCCATCTCTGGCCTGTACCCCAGTTCTGTATGAATAAATGAATAAATCTTTAAAAAAAATGGGGAAATAGGTGATTTTGTCACTATGCAAATGTCAGAGTGTTACAGGACAAACCTAGATGGTACAGCCTACTATACACCTAAACTATATGATATGGTTATTAGGGCAATGTTGGAGATGCAGTTTGCCATTGAACAAAATGTTGTTAAGCTACTCATGACTGTAATGTGTCTCAGTGTAGATAGCTCTGTGTGCATCTTACTTGGCATTCATTGAGCTTCTTTGATGTGTTGAGTCATTTCTCTCACCTCTGGGTTGCTTTTCTGACCATTATTTCTTCAGCTATTTCTACCCTTTCAACTATGTGTTCTGATTATGTCTTCCTCATGAAGCAGGACCTCCTAAATTATTAAACCTGTTCCTGTTGAGGGTTGCAGTTTGCCTGTAGTCCCACTGAGGCCAG